CTGCCCTGTCGAACCCCCACCATTTTTTTTTTCATTTCTTTTAAGCTGAAAGTTGCAGCTGTTTTTTTTTTTTTTTTCAGACAGGAATAGAGGACTGTGAAAAACCACTTTTCACTGGCAAGCTATGAGAATATACGTTTTCAAAGGTCCCTATAAATTACAGAAAGAGTTGGCTGGGATTAGAGCTGGGAAAAGCTGATCACGTACAAAGAGGGTCATGATCCCATCAGGTCACAGGGAAGAAGAGCCCCAAGACACATCAGATGCTGGCCTGACGCAGTGTCCCATTTTAGCCTGCAGCCCCAGCAAACGTTAAGCCATCACTTTATTTATTAAAGGCTCAAAAAGCCCCTGGTTAGTGCTGGGAATCAGGGTGGAACTGCAGCTGATTCCTTGAGCCAACAGCAGACAGGGGCTCCCAGCCCCAGCATGGCACCAGGGACGGCAAACCTTGGCACGGCCATGAGCCCAGCCAGGCACCAATGTCCCCTCGGGGACACCAGGCTGTCACCTCAAGGACATCATTATCGGGCCAGACATCTCGATCCTGTTGCCTGAGTGCTCTCCCTTCTCCAGTGTGGAGAGCAGCACCATCACCTGTCCATTGTGAGGGCGTTACCCCCAACTCACATCCATCTCTAAATCTCATTTCAAGACACTGCCGAGCTCAGCTATTTGCAATCAATGGCAACTCTAGGGAACAGCTTGACTCCCTGCCCTCCTCCTGCACAGCTCAGCCCCCAAAATGTCCCTTTCCACAGCCCCAACATCCTGCCCTCCAGCCACAGCACTGCCTTACTTCTCCCCAGAGGAGTCTCCACTGGAAGAAAAACCAATTCTGAGATGCAGCCACCAGAACAGCTACTCCAGTGCTGGTGTGGGGCATAGGAGGCTCTCTCTTGCCATCATCAGGATCCTTCCCCTGCTTTTTGCTGTTATCTCAAAGCCATTTGTCTTCCCTACCTAAATCCCTTCTCCCACAGTTCTCCTGGCCTGCGCCACCCAGAGCAGCTTGGCTGGGAGGCTGGGGGGACCACAAGCCCTGATGTCAGCAGTTCCCAATATTTCCTTATGCTGCCCTGCCTGCTGTCTGGCTTGGCTCCCGCTCCAACCCCCAGATGAGGATTGGACCATTAAATGACATGGCCAGGGCTCTCAGAGCAGCCAGTGGCACAGTGGAGCTGGATCCACATCTCCAGGTGCACTCTAGGAGCCAGACCATCTTTCAGGAATGCTCAAAAGCATCTCACTACCACCACTGAGAAAAGTATCCATGGATTAAGTAAGAGAAACTTCAGAGGTTTACCTGAGCCAACACCGCAGGGGAGAAGTAAGTCCAGGAGAGGAATTCAAGATGAGTGCCCAACCACACCTTTGATATGCCCATGGTATTAATCATTGGAACCATCAGTAATAAGTCCTGTCTCCTGTCTAGACTTGGAGGCCATACCCAGACTGCAGAGCCTGTGAAGGCAGCACAAAGGCCTGCTTGAAATGTTCTTTTTTCAAACATGAAAGAAACTGAGAAATAAAGATGGGTCCTTTGTTGCAGGAGTGGAATTGCAGACAGTCGATTTTCAAGTCTGATTTCTCCTCACTTTTCACCAGGCAGAAGTTCTATTTCTTGCTGATCCTTAAGAGATTTGGTTGGGCAAAATCTCCCTGAGGAACTTGTGGTAATCCCATACTGAGGCTGCTGGACTTTACCTTTGTTTACTAACTCCATCACTGTGTATCCAGTGCATCCCAGACAGGGATGGAGCAGAGCCACCTGCAAAGGACTGGGGCACAAAGTCCCTCCAACAGGACTTGATCGACAAAAGCAAAGGGCTCCAGCTGCTGTAGGATGAAGCTGTGTCTGTGAGGATGAGAGCTGTGTATATTAAAAGAGAAAAGCACATGAGGAATTCCCGAAGGGATGGAGCTTGAAGCCATCTGCTTGGGAAAAGCAGGAGAGCAGAACTCATGAGGAGCATGGACTGGAAACTCCACAGTAAGTGAGGACAGAGGCGGTGAGGAAGTGACAACATCTGCACAAATCTACCCAAATTCCCATAATTATTGAAACCCATGTACATACTGGGGCTGAGTTCAGAGAGGGAGGGTCTCCAAAGCAAAGACCAAGACCCCAGAAACAGCACCCCACACCAGCAGAGCCCACTTGGCACCATGCACACCCACTGAGCACAAAACCCTAGAGACCTTTTAATTGCCAGAGAGAACCCAGACTCACGAGGAGACAGAGTAGTCCCTGCTCCATCCCAGCTCAAGGGATCCTTCTGGATAATTAGGACAGCCTGGCTATTGCTTCCTGCCTCGCTCCATTTCATTTTATTATTAGTAAAAAAAAAAAAAAAAAAAAAAAAAAAAAAAGACTACTTTTCCACTTTTCTTCCTAAACTGACTTGGATTTTTCTTCTGTCTAAATTCATCTGGGCTCTGTACAATGTCACCAGGTCAGCTTGTGCTCCTGCTGCAATTCTAATTTTGTCAGCTTTACATTTTCTAGGCAGTTGGGAGATTTTCCTTTCTTTGCTCTTTTTCTTTTTTCCCCCCAAGTCAAAAATGATTTTGCATAACAGTAATAACGTTAATGGCCCTGCACACTGCATCCAGATTACAACTGCAGCTAGGGAGAAATAAACATCTCATCTTTGCCCTGCTGTTTATCTCCCCACAGCAGAGCCTGGTATCAGGTCAGAACCTGTAATTTCATTAACTTTATCACTCAGACACGCTTGTTGCTAGATGTCATTATTCAGCACATCACTCCTGTGTTTTGTTTGTGCTGGGATTCACTTCAGATGCTCTGCCACCACATGGGAGCATCCCTCCCATCCACATCACTGCCTGAGCTGGGGAGGAAAGTTTAGCTTGCTGAGCCGTGATCTGCAAAACATTTGTGCTGCTCAGGCCCCCTGTGCAGGGACTGCATGGAGCAGAGCCATCCAGAGCAATTCCCTGCCTGATTCCCTGACTAGATACATCCAGAAGTGGTGAATAAAAAAACCTCACAGTCTTCCTCACAGAAAGAAAAGCTGACCCAACAGCCACCAAGCGTGGGGCGTGCAAATCCCCAGTGACGGGCAGAGCACAACCCAGCACCTGCAGTCAGCCAGTGCCCAGCACAGCGGGGAGGCTGCAGCACAGGCAGGTGGAGGGTGAGCAGAGCTGCTCCATCTCCACTGGATTTGCCATCCCTGGTAATTAATGCTGGGAAGTGACACTTGAAAGAGCCTGTGCTGACAGCCCCTGTGACGATAGCGTTTGGAGCCTGCTGACAAGTCCCAGCTGATGCCTTATCACAAGGCAGCTCAGCAAGAGCAGCGAGGAGAGCTTTTCCCATGGGAGCTGGTGGATTCCCTGGGATGCAGGCACAGCTCCACACCCATCCCCAGTGACCACAATGAAACCTGGCAGTGCCAGCTGGGCACCAGGGAAAGGCTGATCTCATTGTGGCACTACAGCCACACTCCAGCTGGGTGTCCTTTAATGCCTCCACCTTCAATCCAGCTGCAAAGCCATGCCCAAGCAGCTTCCAGTCCCTGGGGATCTCCAGGTACCTGTGTCTGCTCACACCAGCTGCAGCTTCTCCACCCCACATGCCCCATCCTCACAGGAATCCAGCTGTGACTGCTGCTCATGTGCAGGCCAAAGCAGCAGGGAGCAGCATGTCTGAGTCACCACGTTTCCCCTGCGTGTGCCATCAGGTCAGAGTGGAAAGCCCACAGCACATCTATTTATATCTGCAGTCTAGAAACCCTAGATCTGAACCACAGCCACCTCATCCTGGGCAATCCAGGCTCTAAGCAGCTTCAGCAGAGAGGAGTAAGCAGCACAAAGCATAGCTTGGCTCCTTGAGCAGAGCCTCATCCAAGAGGGAAAAGTGCCCATCTGGGAGGAAGCATATGGTGAACTGGCACAGTCTGGAAGGATCAGACTAGGCAAGGCACAAACCTGCCTCGATCCAAGGCACAAAGCCTGACAGCATCACAAGCAGAGCTGGTGGGAGCATTTGGGAACATCTCTCCCAGCTCAGGTATCCCACAGGCTGCTTCCAGCTTGGGGCAGGGGGTTCAGTCTGTGTAAGTTCATTATTGCTAGTTCCTGAAGCCCTTGGATAGTTTAATATTCTGCTCTAGATCTTGTTTGATATTTTGTTTTGAAGAGCACTGAAATGCAGTTACTGCTGTCTTCCTCACTCACACAACTCTAAATAATTTATAGAAAAGCAAAACAAAGAAGAGAATATGAAAGAAGAAAGAAGGTAGCTCAGTTATGAGATATGAAGGGTTTCATTTGTTCATTCTCACTGAGCAGAAGGTTGAGGAAACATCTCTTAACCCCATGGGCTGGTAACAGCCAGACACACACCAAGAGATGCCAACAGGGATGCCCAGAGCAGCACTCGAGGATGGCAGATTGATCCCTGGGCACCTCCAAATCTGTTTGAGCAACAATACACATCACAATCATCACAGCCTTGTTTAAAAGGAGAAAGAATAGAGCATTTTAAGGGTGGAAGATTATCAACCTCAGCCACCACTTATGACCATCACAAGGGCAGGGAGCTGCTTTACAGACACACCACACCACCTAGGCTATCCCTGGCTGCTCCATGGAGCCAAAAAGAGTCCCTGTCCCCATCCCTGCCACTGTGACTGCTAAGTCTGTCTGGAAAGCCCACACAAGAAAGGAAAGATGGTTCAGCACCAAGATCCCTTCCCTGCACAGAGCAAGCCAGCACATCCCTTCCTCGCTCCTGCTGGAGTCACTCACAGCACTAATATGCTTTGCTTTTGTTTATTCAAATGCATTTTACTGTGCATTGCGGGTGAACAATATTAAATGGCTCATAATAACATTTCAATAAGCAGAGGTGGGTGTAGCAGCTTCTGACAGACAGATTTTAGAAATGCAAGCAATCAAGTACGCGTTAGCTGAAATACCCTGGGGAACGTGCTGCTCCCCGGCAGAGCAGAGACAGAAAATCCACAAACCTTTCTTCTCGTAGTCAGGCTTCTCCTCCCCGCCCCGGCCCAGGCTCTCCAGCGTCCTTGTCACCTGGCTGCCAAACTCATCCTCCCTGGTGCTGGGCTCTGCCCGCCGCGGGGTCTCCTCCTCCTCCTCGTCCTCGTAGTCGTCCAGGATGGGGGTCTCCCGGATGGGCACCCCGATGACGGAGTTGTGTGCCTGCAGGCGCGAGTTGCGGAAGCTCTCGCGGGCCTGGGGGCCCAGCAGCACCGAGGGGATGTAGTGGATCTCGTGGGTGGCCTCGGTGCTGGCGCTCTTCTGCGGGATGCGGCGGCGCTTGTGCCAGCGCCGCTGGGCGTACAGGGCCACCATGAACACCAGCAGCAGCAGGAGCAGCGCGATCAACCCACCCTGCAGAGAGAGCACAGGGCACTGTCAGGAGTGCACAGGGGCAGGGAGGGGTGATGGGGTGCTGCAGGGTCCACAGAATCACAGAATGATGGGTGGATGAGATCCTAAAGCACATCTAATTGCACCCCCCTGCCATGGGCAGGGACACAGAATTCACAGAATCACTGGGTTGGAAGAGACCTTCAAGATCCTCAAGTCCAACCCATCCCCAACCCCTCAACTCAACCCTGGCACCCAGTGCCACATCCAGGCTTTGTTAAACACACCCAGAGATGGTGACTCCACCACCTCCCTGGGCAGCCATTCCAGAACTTTATCACTCTTTCATAAAAAAAACTTTCCTAATATCCAACCTTTATTTCCCTTGGGGCAGCTTGACACTGTGTCCTCTGGTTCTGTCAGTTCCTGGAGAAAGAGCCCAGCCCCAGCTGAGCACAGCCACTTCTCAGGGAGCTGCAGAGAGTGATAAGGTCACCCCTGAGTCTCCTTTTCTCCAGGCTGAACACCCCCAGTTCCCTCAGTGGTTCCTCACAGGGTTTGTGTTCCCAGCCCCTCTCCAGCCTCGTTGCCTCCTCTGGACACGCTCAAGCATCACAATGTCCTTCCCAAACTGAGGGGCCAGGAGTGGACACCACCCACTGGGGCAAGGTTGCTTCACACCCTATCCAAACTCAAACACTTCCAGGGATGGTGCACCCACAACTTCCCTGGACAACCTGTTCCAGTGCTTCAGCACCCTCCAAGTAAACCTCCAGAGCAGCCTTCCATCAACAGCCCCTGAACCACACACAGGTGGATTCGTGGAGCAGCCACCTCTCAGGTGTGAGGTCATGGGCAGGTAGATGAGGATGCCAGGGATGGTTTTCAGCTGGGAATAGCACAGTGACACCCCCAGCCCAACTCTGACCATTCTGACAGGGACTTTGTTCTTTCCACCTCACTCCTTGGGACCCCCAGGACCCCTACACGGGAGGAAGGGTAATGGGGATGATCACAGTCCACCACTTAGAAGAAAAAAACTCATTAAAACAACCCAACTGTAATCCTGGAGCAATAAAGCCTTAGCAGAGACACACATTTCCCAAAAATGATGGTGCAGCAAATGGCCCCTCATAGGTGATGCTCCCAAGGAATGGTTACCCCAGCTCCAACATTTCTCGTCTGATTTCCCTGTGGTTTCAAGATCAGCTGCAGAGCTGGGGCACACCACAACATATTCCAGACTCAGGCATTCTCTACAAACCTCTTGTCTTTCGTCGCCTCCAATTTTTATTCAATACAGCTCTCAACAACATGAACATTAAAAATAAAAATCTTTAACAAAAAAGAAAAAAAAAGAAAAAATAAACTTCCAAATATCTATATGTACATGGAAGCAGCACATCCTCTCAAGGGAGCCTGGCTAGGGAGTACCAAAGGGAGCCAGCTCTGCCTCTGGCTGCTCTGGAAGTTAAATTCATCCCTACACACACAAGAACTGTGCCTGTGCCAGCTCCCAGCCTCTTAATATCTGCAGCATCAGAGCAATTTTATCCTGTGGCAGACAAGCAAGGCAGGGCATGTAAATCAGGAGCAGCACGAGCGACCAGGGCTTTGCAGCATGACAGGAACAGCCAGGGCAGGGCAGGCGTTCCCTGGGCACCTGGGATGCCACGGCCAGAGCTGCACCAAGCTCTACAGCAGAGCAGAGGTGTGGAAATGTTCTCTCTGCATTCCACACAAAGCACCAGGCTGCACCTGGAGCACGGCTCTGACTCCTAAACAGGAGCAGCTGTAAGGAGGTGGCAGTGCAAAGTGCAGCTCACAGGATGAGCTGCCTCAGGAGACGTTTCTCTGCACCACAGCCTGCCACAGAAGGGGCCCAGCCCAGCACACCCCACACCAGGATCCCCTCCTCTCCTGCAAAATTCTCCTAAGAGATGCAGGACTCAGGGTTTCAGGACACTGCATAGCTTGAGCTCCCCGATCTCATGATGTGCACCATCAGAAAAGGTGTTTTGCTGTCCAGGAGATGCTCAGGGATCCCTGCATGGCAGAGGGACAGGGCTTGGTGGGTTGCCCAGGTTTATGTCCTGCAGTAACCAGGGCACTTCAAGGACCAGAGGGATGAAGACCCAGCGTGGCCTTCCATGCCCAGAAACAAGAACCAGCATGGACACCTCAGCCTGGGAGAGCAGTCATCAGCTTCCTTGGATTTGCACAGTGCCCAATGCATGGAGACAACAGAGAAGCACAGGAACTCCCTGGCTTGAGCCACCCACACCCCCAGGCATTTCTTCAGAAACCCAGTTTGCAGGAGAGAAACCATGGCATACCAGCAGGAAGGCCAGGCCAGGTGACAAGGACACAGCAGGGCCACAAACTTCAACACAACAAACTCCACTGCAAAACCAGGTCTGGCTCATGCGCCAGCATCTTTACAGCACAGAGAGGCTTCTCATAGTCCAGAAGGGCTTCAGAACAACACTCCTGGATGTGATTGCTGGGAAAAATCTTCTCCAAGACCTTCACCACCAAACCCCTGAGCTGCCCGGCTGGGTATCGCTCACTCCTTTGTGCATTCTGCCACTGGAAAGTGCTGCAGGGCAGAGCACTCTGCACCCATGGGCACACAGGCACTCACCCTCCATGGAAATGCAATACCAGAGACATCCCAGATGCTCAGAAAAGGACAGAGTGACAGAAAAAGCCTTTCAGGAGGAGCAGCTGTGCCAGCTGGAGCCAAGGAAGGGGTTCAGGAACCCATGGTGGGCCTGGGGCTGTGGATCTTCCTGGCTGGCCTCACCTTATCTCTGCCCCTGGGAAATGTCCTGGAGAAAATAAAACTGTTGGCATGTTAAACAAAGATCTCTCTGCTTCAGAGAACCTGCAAAAAGGCATAAAGGCACAGAGGATGCTGGTGTGCCATTCCCCCTCTGACTCAAGAATGACAGGGCTGGCTCAAGGAAGACAAGGGCTCCCAGCCCAGCTACAACTCCCACATCCTCTGGGGATGAGCCATAGATCTCTGCTCTGCCAGTCGCTGGGACAATGGCCCCTGGGAAAGGCTGGGGGTGCCCATGCCAGCCCCCTGGGTGAGCACCAGGGGCTCATCACAGGCAGCTCAATTCCAACGTGCTCCTTTAGTCCCTGACCCTGTACTGGCAGCTGCTTGTTTAACAACACCACACACGCCTTGAGAGCTTCCTGGGAAAAAAGGGGGGGGAAAAAAAAAAGAGTCAAACTTAGGAGGCGTTCAAGCCAGCCTCATTTTAATCTATTTTTCGTGTTAAATTATCCAACTGAGGGAGCGGGAGAGAGAAAGGGGAAAGAAGGGATAATATGAGAAATGTTTTATTTGACAACGTGTCATTCGGAAACTGATTATTTCTGTCTCTGAGCTTTTTAATATTCCCAAACAATGGCCGAGCCGCGTGGGGATTTGGTATTCTAAGGCTGGATTTATAATACTCTGTTCTGCAGTGATAAGAACACGGGCCTTTAATCCTCTGAGCTGTGAACATGCATATTTTCCCACGTAATGTCCTTCCTGCCACGCTCCTGCTGCCCTGGGCTGGCCAAGCAGGGGCCACCAGCACCAGAGCGTTGCCAAGACCCCACAGGAGAGGAGAAGGAGTGGGAGAAGGAAGATGGGGGAGAAGAGGGATGGTAGGAACAACCCACATATGGAAAGAACTGCAGGGCTTGTGGCACCAGAGCGAAGCTCAGCTGAAGCTGAAGAGCAGCAAGGCTGGGAGTTATTTGAAGCCCAGAAGGAAAATCAATGGGAGAGGCCACCCTGAGGCCCAAGAGATTGGACCCTCACATAAATTATGAAGGCTGTCAAGCTGTTGGATTGGACTCTGTGGGAGTCTCTGAGGTGCTGAACAATTTCTGGGCAGCAAGAGGACACATTGCTGCTTTGAACAGAACCACCACCCTGCCCTACCAAGCCAGTGAAAGACAAGGGAGTCCCACTGCTCCTCTGGAGTCCAGACACACTTCCTTGCAGCAGCCTCTGGCCTTTCCAACTCTGCTCCTCACAGTGGTGGGATGTGGTGTGACCCCTTGCAGGAATCCCCCATCCCTGCAGCCTTGCAGTCAACAGTGACAGCCCAGCTGCTCAGAAATCAAGCCCTGACAGTCTTCCAGCTGCCACCAAAAGGGCTGAAGTCACAGAAGAAAATCCCAGGCTGGAGGGGATAGTTTGGGCTGGGCAGACCTCTAATACCACAGCATCCCTTGTGTAGGTCAAAGCAAACCCGGTGCTAAACAGCACAGCACTCAGGTCTGTGCTGACCTGGGCCCCTTCCTCCCAACACAAGATTTTGTCCTCAGGCAAGAATACCCCTCTTTATTTCCTAACTTGAAGCCATTTATTGTCCAACATTGTGCTGGCAAGCAGCCCCATGGCTACTGAGCTGCTGCTGGATGAAGCAGGGCTCCCTCAGCCCCAGGCATGGCTCCAAGGACAGTCCCCAGGACAGCTCAAGGATGCCCCATGGGCTGAACGAGCCCCCAGTGCTGGAGCATCACATCCCCTGCATCAGCCCAGCAGCTGAATTAAGGGGAGCAATCAGGTACCAGCAATAACCACACAACCCTCGGGGCTCTTCACACTGTTTACTTTTCCTTTCTTTCCTTTTTGGCTGTAAAGGTAATTAAACACTAGGACAATTTACCAAGGGGTGTAGTGGATTATCCATCACTGTCAATTTTAATTTTTTTTTTTTTTTTTAAATCAAGCCTGGATGCTTTTTGAAAAGTCATACTTTATTTCAAATGAGAAAAAGAGGCTTCAGGGCATCCTTGCACCCTGTGCAGCTCTGAGGGAACAGCAGATGATCTCATGGTCCTTTCTTGAATTCTCCTCACCCCAATTTTGGCTTTCCCACAATTCAGCTCCACAGCATCTTATCTGTCATCTGGGGCACTTCATCCCCTCCCAGGCAACCCAGACACACAAAGCACCACCAGACCCTGCATGCAGAGAGGTCAGGCAGAGCCCACCCCCATCCACA